AGCAGGTCCTTAAGTAATTCATGAATGCCCCACCCTCCTCCTGGCCCTCTGCCCCCCATCTCGGACCCCGCCACGCTCCGCCACGCCCCGTGTCTGGAGGACTGGAGGGCGCACAGGTTGGTTGCGATAAGCCCCACCGGCCGGAAGAGGAGGAGCAGCGGGGAGAGGCGGAGGGGGGAACAGGAGGGAGACGGAAGCCATGGAGCCCCCAATCTTTCGTGTAATAATGAAAATCCACTGCTGCCTGCCTCCCGCCTGCTTGCTGCCTCCCCGGGCCGCACTCGAGGCGCCCGCGCGGACCGGCCCGGGGGGCCCGGGGTCCAGGGACCAGCCGCTTCAGCCTCCTATCTCGTCATCTCCTCATCTGGTGGCGTGCGGCCAAGCAGAGGAGCTTGCGCCGCTGGGAGGCCGGAGAGACAAAGAGAAAATGAGTGGACTGTCACACCAAACAAACAAATTAAACAACTAAGCAAAAACTTAAAAAAAAACACTCGAGAGCTCGTCTACGGCGTCGACGCATACTCTATCTTGTTAATGTTATTTATTTGTGCATGTTGTAAACAGGTTAGTAAATGAGCTCTACGAGCTCGACGTGGAGCTCAATAAAACCCATTGACCCGTATTCCGGGTGAAGGTGAAAGAACTCACGCTGAATTCCGCTTTAGTTTTAGTTGTCGGGTACACGCGGGATAAGCTCTTAACCTTGCGGCGGCCCGCCCGCCCTACAGAAATAAATTTCACGAGTCGGTGCCATGAATGGGATAGGGGGGCGAACCATTTATTTGGCGCTACGGACGAGCAGCGGCTGAGGAGAAAGGGGAAAAGCGGGGGGGGCGGAGGGGCAAGGAGAGAAACTTGAGCAGCCGAGACCCAGCAGGAGCAGGAGGGACTGGACCGCCAACTGGAACAGGCGGTGACCGCGCCATTCCTCGCCACGCCACGCCACGCCGCGCCACGTGACACCACGCCGCAGACAACGCCGCGGGCCGCGCGGGAGGCGCAGGTCCGGCCCAGGCGTGCCATTACAGTTGAGGGGAACTACAGTAATAGTCGGGGGGTTGCTGCTGCTGCTGCTGCTGCTTGCACAGGAGACTGCAATATCTGACCACGCCACGGGATAAGGGGGTGAAGGGGGAGGTTTGGAGGCGGCCTTGTGGCCTAGTGGCTGGAACAAACACTTCCAAGGCTTTGGGCAAACAGGAGCCGAGCCTCACTGGAGAGCCCCCTTCACCCACCTTCTTCACTTTTCTTCTTCTTACGGAGGGGGACAAACCATCAAACTGACGGCTTCTTTTCTATGAAAATTTCTTACGACCGCAAAGAGGCCCCCGGAGCCCCCCGCGATCGTTCCTGGAGGAGGTCCTGGAGGCGGAGAGGTCAGGGAGAAGGGCGCCGCGGCACCGCTGTGTCGGAGAGGCGGACACGGGGCGGGCAGCGCCAGGTGAATTGAAGTGCCTGGCCTGGTCCGGTGACTTACTTGCACTCCAGCGCCTTCCCTTGGCCCCGTTTCGCCGCCACCCCCGCCGGACCCCGCCCGACCCTGCCGCCCCGCGGCGCTCCCCCGGCCCACCCCGGCCAGACCACCCTCTACTGCACCATAACTTTGTCGCCCTCTCAGGCGCCGCGACGCCGTCCTCTATTCCCGGCCCGGAGTCGCGACGCGCCAGGGAGACCGGCTCGCCTCGCCGTCGCCGACGGTGACGGCGCCCCGGCCGGCGTGGGTGGGGTGGGCCGGGCGGGGGAGTAGGGGAGAAGGGAAAGGGGGAGGGGTACGGCGCTTGCTACGGCAGGAGATGAAGGATCAAGGGGTGATCATGGCAAAGGATCTCAAACAAATCAAGATAGTGAGCACGGCAAGCAGAGGGGGGCGGCGACCGGGCTCCGCGAGGCGCGGGTAGAGAAAGTGGACCGGGAACGGCGCGCTGGGACTCGCTGGGGACTCCACTGCCTTTTGTAATTCGGCGCGGGCCTGTCGTTGTGTTCTGTTGTGTTGGTGCCCTTGAGATTCGCTGCTGGAGGGGGGTGCTAAGTTGGGACCGTGGAAGGGCGTTCGTTCGGTCCGCGCACAAGAATTTTTGGCAGAGGGAACCGACAATAAATTTCCGGCCCCAAGGTCCCTGCACAAGGATGCCGCCGGGGGGATATTTTCTTCCCCAACACTGCATAATGTACCGCTGCCGCTGCTGTGTGGGAGCGTTTGTTTTCTCTTTCATCGCCGGCCGGGGAGGGCGTTGTGCTGTGTTTTGTAATGGTTGAAATTATCTGCCAAAACTACATCTGACGGCAGGGCCGAAGTTCGTGGACTCTGCCGTTGAAGGAGAGTAAAGTTTGGACAGCAGATCAGGGAATCATCGCGCCCGCGCTCGGCTTTAGTTCATCCTCGGCAGCAGGCCGTGGTCGCCCAGGATGATGGTGGCGGCGCGCTCGGCGACCAGGATGGTGGGCACGTTGGTGTTGCCGCTGGTCACGGAGGGCATGACTGACGCGTCCGCCACCCGGAGGCCGCGCACGCCCCTGACGCGGAGCTTCGAGTCCACGACGGCCGCGTCGTCGTCCTCGCGACCCATCCGGCACGTCCCCGTCCAGTGCCAGAGGGTGTTGGTCGTGGTTCGGGCCACGCACCGCAGGTGTTCGTCCGATCCGAACGACAGGTGTCTGAAAAAACGTCACATCAAGGAAAATCAACATCTAAATTGATCTTATCAGAAATCGGTGTCCACAGATCTGAGTACAGGACCCACCTGCATAAGGGGGTGCGCGTGTTGTCCTTGTTGATGGTGAGCCCCAACTTGGCCAGCGAGTCTCCCAGCGCGACGCCCATCTTCAGCCCCTCCACGAGGACGGCGAGGTCGTGGCCGCCCTCGTCGGAGAGGTAGCCCAGCTCCACGATGGGCTGCCCCAGCGGGTCCGCGAGGTTGAGGTGCACCCGGCCGCGACTTCGCGGGTGCAGCACGGCCGGCGTCCACTGGAGGCGGTTCCACCGCCAGGGCTCGCTAATCAGGCACCTTCAGGTCCGGCACAGGATGAAGTTTTCGAAATTCACAAGAGAAAGGCCGTATGAAGAAAAATCACCCCACACCGTAAGAAAATCTTACCGCCCGCCGTTTTCCATCTCGAGGTTGGCCAGGAACAGGATCTGCAAGTCGGGCTGCTTGGCCGGGGGCCCGGTGCCCGCCGGCGGCGGCGGGTCCAGGTCGGTGCGGAAGAAGGCGCTGTACTGGAGCCCGATACCCTCGGCCAGCGGGCCGGTGCGCGTGGTCGCGTACGTGTACATGTCGCGGACCCGGCTAGCCCCGTCCACGACGCACAGGGGCGGGCCGCAGGAGAACTCGAGGCCGGCGACGCGCGCGTGGTCCTCGAGGTTGTCGCCCACCGGCAGCTCCACCAGCTGGGGCACGTTGATCGCCTGCAAATGCGGCCCACGTCAGCGCGAGCCACGAGTCCCCGACCTGACGGGAGGCAGATAAGGACCTCACGCCCCCTCGGGGGCCGAGAGTTTCAGTCGCGGCACGACGGTGGACGCTATCGCCGCTGTCGCCGCACTACTCGCTCCCCAGCCTCATTCATTACCCTGCCCGGCGTGCTTCCAGCTTCCACTTCCTGCTTCCACGTCCACCTGACGCGCCGCCGCCGCCCGCCGCTGACGGATGGATCTCCGTCGCTTAAATCACGAGAATGTTTGGCGCCGCGCTGCGACGGCTGCCGAGGTACTTACGCTCAACTGCTCCCCCCCCC